GGAACGGGGGCGTGGAGCGCGGAGGGCGGCCGAGGTCCGAGGCGGGACGGAGCTTCGGCCCTGCCCCTTGGACGGCGCTGGCCCATCCCGGAACTAGCCTCTCGGGTGTTCCTCATTAACCGCCCAGCAAGCCCCGGAGGCCCCACTGTCAGAGTCCCCATTTTGCAGGTTGGGAAACTGAGGCTCAGAGCGGGGCTGAGGCCACACGTGGGACCTCAGCCTCTGGATCAGCCACTGGACATCTGTGCTGGGGGAACCGATGACCGTCAGTTAGTCTGTACCACACTGAGACCAGGGCTATCCACCTCCCAAAGCACAGAGGGGGTAAACTGAGGCATACCGAGTCTGACGAGAGAGTGGAGCTTGGTCAAAGACAGGGGAGAGGGCAGAGCCCTTGTTCTGCCCAGCACATCCTAGCTTGGGCAGGGGTCCCCTGGGCCCTACCCCTGCCACGCCACCCCCTGCTGCGGGGAAGGGACCCAGCTCCTCCACATTCCAGCTCCTGCTGTGTCAAATTAAACTCCACAAGGCCCCATTTCCTCCTTTTCTGTTCTATTTGGACTTTTTCCTTTTAATTAAGGGAAGAAAGGGGAAAGAAGGTGTTTATAAATTAAGTTCTGTAATATAAGAAAAATTACATTTTCTTTCTGAGATGGGAGTTTCATAATCGTTGTAATTATTTGTCCTATCTCTGTGACAAATGTTATTTTTATTACCTGCTCTTATCTTCATCTCTCAGAATGAGGGGCTTCTGGGGGGTGGGGCAGAGGTGGCAGCCAAAGACAAGAGGACAGTCTGAGAGGACAGGTGGGTACAGGCCTGACTGTAGCTCTGTGGGTGCCCACACCTATTTACATGTGTGCTCCCTGCCAGCCCCCTCCCTCCTGATTCATGGTTAAGCTGTGGAACCACCCACACACCCCGCCAGGACCCTTGTCATATTGGCCAGGAAGCAGAGAACAATAATGGTGGCATTTTAGGCATGAGGACCCAGTGTGCTTCCCCTTCCATATGACCTCTGCAGTGTGGGTCCCTCCAGGAGAGGTGGAATAAGCCTCCCTCCCAGGGTAACTGGCTTCTGTTGTTTCCTGGATAGAAGTAATAATTTTCAAAGTATCTACTGTGTACCAGCTTAGGCCCAAATGGGGGATGACTTGTCAACAGTCACCCAGAGAGCAGGGATTTGATCCCATTTGGTTACACTGAGTTTTAGCTGATCAATTGAAAACAAACATATTTTTATCTATCACCTTTATACTTTGCTCTGTGCTGCTCTGGGATAAGGTGGAGCTAGACACAGACACCTCCCATTTCTGAGGATAGAGTTCAGCAAAGGGAGGACCAGGGAACATGTGCAGGAGGACTTCTGGGAACTAGGGGGCACTGTGCCTGGGTCTTTGATGTAGAAGTGTTATGGGTGGATCCTCACCTGGGGTCAAGGATGGGGTACCATCCTGGGGAAGAGGGTTACAGTGCCAGGAGGTCTTGGCCACTGAGAGCCCCTTGCCCCACTAACACACAACCCCTCTTTTCCAGCTGCCACACCACCCAATGCTGTTGACCGGCCCTGCCTGCGGCTGAAGGTTTATGTGCGGCCAACCAGTAAGTATTCAGGGAATTGGGCAGGGTCCAGATCTCCACTCTTGTGTCCTCATTGGGAACCCACTGAGTGGTCAGTAGAGTCAGGTGATGATCACAGCACAGCCTGGGGAGTCCCACAACCTTAGCAATGGCAGGCTCACCCTTGAGCCTCAGTTTCCCCATATGCAAATCAGGCCAACGTTCAAGAGTGAGGTCGAAGCCCATTGCCAGGCCATAACCCCTGGGTGTGAGCATCAGGAAGTTTCCTGAGATGGACCAAAGAACCCATATTCTGAGCTCTTGAACAACCATAGCCACACTTAGAGACAAGGGGGCTCTTGCAGCCTTGAGACTTCACCGGAGTGCCAGGCACACATTAGTTGCTTGCCAGCTATTTATGAGGCACAGCCCCAACCAAGGTGGACAGAAATCTTAGTGCCCCAAGGGGCAGCTGAGGTTAAGACATTTAGTGACCAGATCGGGATAAGCTCTAGGAAGCAGGTTGGCGGGGCAGGGGTGGCCACTTAGGGAGGGGTATGGGCTGCCGCTGACTGTCCTATCTCCTTGTCCCCCAGATGAGACCCTATATGAGGCCCCTGAGCCCATCTTCACCAGCAATAATTCGTGCAGTAGCCTGGACAGCTGCCAGCTCTTCCTCAGCACTGTCCCAGTGCTCTGGACCCTTTTGGGCTCCTAGTCCCGGCCCTACCTGGACGACTGAATCCAAGACCAAATAGAGATGCCTGGCTCTCCCACGACTGGTGCTGCCCCCGCCTACAGGGGGCTGTCTACCTGCTCCAGAACCAGCCCTAAGGGAAGGGGACAGCCAACAGCCCCTGACGCCCGAGGGGCAGGGTATCAGCACAGCCTCTGCCAGACCATCTCATGAGGGGCACTGGAGAACCTGAGAAACTATCAGCAATGTTAGTTTTTGTTGTTTGTTTATTTTTCATGGTTGGATCAGAAAGGCTTGAATTTTTAATTTAATTTATTCCTTGCTGTCGCCAGTGACTTTGGGAAGGAAACGCAATGGATGGGAGGTCCTTGGCCATCCTGGGGGATAGGAATGAGTAACCCCTAGTCTCGTGGTTCCATTTGTTGGGTCCTGGCTGAAGGCCACTACGGACCTCTCAGATGCCCCTCAGATGGACAGGCCAGTATGAGGCAGAAGGGGCAAGGTGAGACCCCCAGATTCTGACCCAGGGATCTGAGCCCATCTCAGACTCCTGTCCCCGCAGCCCCACTTTCCTCATGCCTGGTGATTGTCTCCCAGATTGGAAACCCACACTGTTTCACCAGAGGCCACTGTGGAGTCCCGGCCCACTCCAAATCACAGTTCCCCACCCTGTCCCACAGCCTCTCACAATCACCCCTGAGCCCGAGAAGACGTTACATTTCTGTAAATAGAGCCAGGAAGTATATACTGTGGTTTATTTTTACTGTATTCCTGAAGATGAACTGGACAGTTTCTTTTTTTCTCACACTTCATGGCGGTCTTATTTTGGTGGGAGGGTGGGGTGGACTTTTTAGAGTAGAAGCCGCACTTTGCAACAAGGTTGTTCATTTGTCAGAGCCCTCTCCTCTACTCTATGACTAATAATGTTTATAAGAAAAAAGAAAACAGGACACAACAAAAAGGGGGGTGGGCCTGCCACCAAAAAAAAAAGAAACCCCCTCCCAAAGACACTTTAATGAAGCAAACAGAGCATTTATACAGATTTCATATTTCTATCCACCTTTCCTGATCTGTGTTTTATATATATTATATATAAATATATATGGTGCACAGCTGCTGGGAGACCACCAGGCGTGCCAGCTCGGGGGTCTTTTGTAGGGGTTGGCATGGGCAGTGGTGGTGCCATGCCTGGAGCTGGCGATGGGGCCTCTCCCCTTCCCATCACAATCAACTTTGGATTCTGTATTTTTTAATAATAAAATGATCATAAACCTCTAGTGTGTGCATCTGCGTTAGGGGCTGGTGACCCTCAGAGGAGTGCTTTGAGCTACTAATTTGGGAGTCAGGTCCCTGCTAGGGAAGGGTGTCGTAGAGGAACATCTGGGGACAATCATGATTGGTTCTTCAGATCTGTGCATCTTCTGGGGGCTAGGCCCTGGAATAAGCACTTTATGGGGCATTATATCCTTCTTTGCTATCCATGGGCCTTAGTTTCCCCCTTTTGAGAAGTGGGAAGTGAGTCCCCTGTCCCCCAGCGGTCCCTGGGAGGATGGAGGGAAGACAGGCTGGCTCTGAGTACACAGCAGGGGCTTATGAAGTGTCCCTTGGAGCACATGATGGGTCTCTTAGGAACCAAATTCTGTGACATCTCCATTGCTAAGCTCTGCTGCCGTGTGACTTAGTTTCCCTAACTGTCCTACGCCAGGCCAGGGGCATCTGTCATCTCTTAATCCCTTTCTGGTTTTACAAAAGGCATGTGTCTGTGGGTTGAGGGGTCCCAGGGGCCTTCTCCCCAGTAGCCCCAGACAGAGGCACAGAGAGGCTGGGGGTTACCCAGTAGGGCTGAGGGTCTGGTCTTCGAGGCTGCTTGTACCTTAGTGCCATCCCCTGGGACTGCAGCATCTTGGGCACAGTTTGCCACAAGGGAAAGCTCTCAGCTAATGATTTGGCTGTGCTGAGCTTGGTGACAGGGGCTGCCTCTTAATGAGGCCGACCAACAGCACAAAGACCCCTGTGTGTCCCCCGACTACCCCTGCCCAATGGCAGGGGGTGGAGTGTGCCTGCCCATGCTGAGCATCATGAGGACCCCAAGGCTCCAACCCAGCTACAGGGTCAGAGGGAGCTAGAGGGAGAGAACTAAATGCCGGGATCATGGGGCCGAATCTTAGCAGTTGACTTTGATTTTGTTATTTTTTTAAAAAATTGAGATATAGTTCACATACCACACCATCCATCCATTTAAAGTACAATTGCACAATTTTTAGTACATTCACAGGGTTCTGCAACCAGTACCTCTAATTCCAGAACCTTCCACCACCCCCAAAAGAAACCTGTCCCCATCAGCAGTTACCCCCAGGCTCCGACAACCATGAACCCACTTTCTGTCTCTGGATTTGCCTGTTCTCGACATTCCACATGAATGGAATCACACACTGTGTGGCCTTTTGTCTCTGGCTTCTCTCACTGAGCATTGTGTGTTCAAGGTCCATTCATGTTGTAGTGAGTGTCAGTGCTTCACTCCTTTTCATGGCTGAGTAATATTCCAGTGTGTGGATGGATGGACCACCTGTGTTTATCTGTTCATCTGCTGAAGTACTTTTGGGTTGTTTCCACCTTTTAGCGATTACAAAGATTTTTAAATCATTATTTAAATTATTAGCTTTTGTGTGTGTGTTAATCCTTACCCAAGGATATTTTTTCCATGATTTTCTTAGAGAGAATGGGAGTGAGGGAGGGGGAGACATGCCCCAACTGGGGTGGAGATCGAACGAACCTGCAACCCTGGTACATGCCCTTGATGAGTAATTGAACTCACGACCCTTTGGGGTGCGGGCTGATGCTCTAACCACTGGGCATGTGCTGGCCAGGGCAATATTATACATTTATATATTTTGATATGATAACCATTTATTATTTTTGAGACACAAAAAGTGACCTTGGGTGGGTAAATACAGAAATTCCTGCCTCAGGGCCTTGGCACTTCCTGTGCTCCCTGCCTGGTACATCACTGCCCTGCTCTCAGCTCCTTCAGATCAGGTCAGATGTCACCTCTTGACCTCCCTAGCCAAGTGGCCACTCATCTCACACCCCTCACTGTCAAATCTCTAATTCTTGTACATTTCCCCCACTGGCTGGAAGCTCCCAGAGGGTAGAGATGTGGTCTGTTGGGGCATCACTGGGACCCAGTGCCTGGCCCAGTCTCCCCTCAGACTTGTCATTTGCCACATGCAGATACGCATACATGTATGTGTGTTGCACAACTGCAGGCACCGTGTACTGCCAGACGCATTTGGGGCCTGGGTCTCTCTGAAACCACCTCTGTCCCTCAGTGGCCACTGGTCACTGCCTCAGGGACTACCATCAATGTGCAGAGTGGTCACTCATTCCCCAGGCTGCATTATGCAGAGCTGGGGACCCCATCCGCAGCTGACACCCAGAGGCCGCTTGAAGGCCCCCGGGTGGCCATTTGTGTGGGGCTATTGGTATGTGGGCCTCCATGCAGAACCTTTTCTGCCCCAGAGGTCCCAGAGGAAAGTTATTTCCCTCTCTGGGTCCCCACCCTTGGGCAGGGAATCCAGGAGGCAGGGAGGGGCCTGTGAGGTTCCTCCTGCCCTTCTGGCTGTTCCTGTGGAGCCATGCCTCTCCCTTTGGGCCCCCTCAGTTTCCTGGTCATCTTAATGTGCGGGAGGGACAAGCCCCTCAGTCACAGGACAGGCGCCCCATAGCCCCTCCTCCTCTTCCTTCTCTGGGCCCTCGGTGTCCCATCTATATCCCTGAGCCCTGCGCTTGGATACTCTTGCTGTGACTGTGAAGGAAGGGGCTCTCCTCTCATCCCTGGGACTGGCTTTTAGGGGGGGGATCAAGCCCCTACAGAGCTGGAAGCTCCCCCCGTCCCACTTGGAGGAAAGGCCACAGTCCCAGAAGCTCCAGTCCTCCCACCTGCTCCTCCCTCCCAACACCCTCCTATACTGGGGGGCCCCCACCTTCCACCTCCTGGACCTTGCTCTGGCTGTGCCTCCTGCTTGGTACACCCTCACCTCCGTTTAGCTTTCCTCAAATGCCCTGCCCTGCCCCTCCTGACCCCTTCCCTTGCCTCCTTTGTGGTTTTCGTCTCTGGCATTTATTCATCAGCCCTCAGGCATGCCCCATATTTTCTTCATTTATCTCAGTTTCTTGTCTTTCTCCTTCTCTAGTCGGTCAGCTCCCCAAGGGCGGGGTTTTTGTCTGTCTTTGTCACTGCTGTGTCCCCAGTTTCTAGAGCATGTCTGGTACACAGTAGGCACTCACTAAATGCTTGAGTTCATGAATGTTGTACATATTTATGGGGAAGCCGCATAAAAGAGCTTCTCTTTTGATCAGAAAAGAGTATAACATGAGAATTACATTTCCTGTGTCAATGTCAGGGCCCAGTGGTGACTGGACCCTCCCTTGGCCTGTGACGTCAGGGTGAGCGAGGAAGGTGAGGACTGCTCCAGTGGCCTCTGAACACCATATTTGGGGGCTTATGGGCCATGAGAAGAGGCCACGGTATTGGTGACCCTGGTCCAGGTTGCAGGTGGTTGGGTGGCCATTAATGGACATGCAAAAGGAGTTTTCAGCCTGGAGCTCCTGAGGAGCCGTAAATCACCACATGATGACTCAGGTCAGAAATTAAGTGGCCACAGCTGAGCTGGTGTGGCCACTGGGGCAGAGACCATGGTGGGGGTGCGGGAGTCCCGCCTACTCTGTCTCTCCTCACAGCTGCTGGACGGGCCATGTCATTATTAGAACCATACAGGTGATGAGGGCCCGGTGTGGACCATGGGCAAGGAATGCTGAGCTTGGGGCAGGTAGTAGGATTGGCGGAGGCACAGAGAACAGGCCGAAGGGCAATTCAGGTATGTCGTCCCTCCGTCTTTTCAGAGGCTGGGAGGGAGGGGAGGCCTCAAAAGCCAGGCAAAGGAGGCAGGCAGGAGGGGCACAAAAAGCTTTGGGGCAGGACTGTAGGCCAAGGAGGAGGAGTGGGTTACAGGTGGAGGGCTGCTGAGCCTGAGGATCGGGCTTGCCCCCCACCAGGAGTTATCCAGGATGGCACTGGACCCTCTGTGCCTCTGCACTGTCGTGGGATGATGGAGCAGAATCCTGTTGGCATTGCCTTTCCCCGGCTTTATGGTCGATGTCAGAAACAGGGAGAAACTCCTAGGGGCCACCCACCTTACAGCCCCTGACACCCCCACCCATTGATCCAGAAATGGAGGCTGAGAGGTCCAGAGATGATCACTGGGCCCTAATGAATGATACAGTCCAGGTGGGGGGCACTGAGTGGTGCAGGAGACCCCTTTTCCTGTGCAGGTGGGGAAACTGAGGCCCTACCAGGCATACAGGGCCGGGGATAGAGCCTGCAACTGAGGTACATGCCCTTGGCTGGAATTGAACCTGGGACCCTTCAGTCCACAGGCTGACACTCTAACCACTGAGTCAAACTGGCTAGGGCTCCATTACTTTTCAGAGAGAATGGAAGGGAGGGAGGGGGAGAGAGAGATGGGCAGGGAACCCTGGGGATGTCTGTGCTCCCCCCTTTCCCCCTGCTCAAAGCCCTTGGGTGACTCCCCTGAGCCCTCAAGACAAGGCCCCACTTCTGCTGCGAGGTCCTGCCCCTCCTCACACCTCTCAGTTCCTCCCTCAGCAGTCTCCAGGCTGGGCCTACCCCACATGAGTCTTCCCTTTTCTTCTCCTTTCCCTGGGTTGGTCCTCCCACCAGAGACTCTGTTCCCTGCACTCTTTCCTTTGAAAGAGCATCTCACCCTTCAGGTTCCAGCTCTGTGCCCTGGGCCTCAGTTTTCCCATTTACAAACCAAGGGCATGAGCTCTGGTCTTGGCGGAAGGGGAGGCCTGGTTTCCTTCTTCCAACTGTTTTGGCAAACTTTGGTCAAGCTACCTTCCCCCTCCAGGACCCAGTTTCCTCAACTGCAATGTGGCTCAAGGATTGGGTTTCATTCCCAACTCAGCCTCTTTCTCCAGTGGGGTCCCCTAGGGCAGGGTGAGCATTTTTCTTTCTGGATCTGTTTACCCTTCAGCAGTGCACTGAAGACCCACTTGAAACCCACTGTACAAATGAGAAAGCTGAGGCTAGAGGATGGGTGGGCCAGCTCCAGGCCCCACAGCTGGGACCCTGAGGTGGGTGTCTGAGCTGCTCCCATGGGCATGGGTTGGGTGGGGGACAAGTTGGACTTCCCTCCCCAGCAGCCACAGTAAGCAGCTCAGGTGAGTTCAGAATATTTATTCTTGGCAGCAACAG